AGAGAGAGAGAGAGAGTGAAGAGAGAGAGAGAGAGAGAGAGAGAGAGAGAGAGAGAGAGAGAGAGTGAGAGAGAGAGTGAGAGAGAGAGAGAGAGAGAGAGAGAGAGAGAGAGAGAGAGAGAGAGAGAGAGAGAGAGAGAGAGAGAGTGAGAGAGAGAGAGAGAGAGAGAGAGAGAGAGAGAGAGAGAGTGAGAGAGAGAGAGAGAGACAGAGAGAGAGAAGAGCAGAGTAGTGCGTACCAGCAGGTCGTGTGTGTGTGTACGTTCCAGCGTAACCGTAAGAATGTTGTGGTGAAGGAGGAGGGTGAGTTAGGGAGGAAATGTGGGGGTAGAAGAGGGAGGGTAGATAGGTAGAGGAGGACGAGAGACGGGGATGAGGGAGGAGGGTAATGAAAGGGAGGGCAGGTTAGGTGAGGGAGGAACGGAGGGAGATGGGGAAGGAGGGAGGGAGAAAATGGAGGAAGAAGGGAGGAAATCTTCCCCCTCCCTCACTGAACGTAATACATAATACATGTAACACGTATACATGTAATACAGTCGCACATAGGCGATACTAAAAAATTCCATCCCCGTGTGACTTGTTATATATGTACGTGTATACGTATTACATGTATCAGTAATAATACATGTATACATATGTATCAGTAATAATACATGTATACATATGTATCAGTAATAATACATGTATACATATGTATCAGTAATAATACATGTATACATATGTATCAGTAATAATACATGTATACATATGTATCAGTAATAATACATGTATACATATGTATCAGTAATACATGTATCGTAATACATGTATCGTAATACATGTATCGTAATACATGTATCGTAATACATGTATCGTAATACATGTATCATAATACATATATAAGTAATGTGTACTTGTATGAGGATTTTCATACTGGGTCTCATACACTTGTGATTAAGACATCCTTGTATCGTACAACCCCAGTCTCCTCTACCTCAGTCATCCTAGTAAGACATCCTTGTATCGTACAACCCCAGTCTCCTCTACCTCAGTCATCCTAGTAAGACATCCTTGTATCGTACAACCCCAGCCTCCTCTACCTCAGTAATCCTAGTAAGACATCCTTGTATCGTACAACCCCAGCCTCCTCTACCTCAGTCATCCTAGTAAGACATCCTTGTATCGTACAACCCCAGTCTCCTCTACCTCAGTCATCCTAGTAAGACATCCTTGTATCGTACAACCCCAGCCTCCTCTACCTCAGTCATCCTAGTAAGACATCCTTGTATCATACAACCCCAGCCTCCTCTACCTCAGTCATCCTAGTAAGACATCCTTGTATCGTACAACCCCAGCCTCCTCTACTCAGTCATCCTAGTAAGACATCCTTGTATCGTACAACCCCAGTCTCCTCTACCTCAGTCATCCTAGTAAGACATCCTTGTATCGTACAACCCCAGCCTCCTCTACCTCAGTCATCCTAGTAAGACATCCTTGTATCGTACAACCCCAGCCTCCTCTACCTCAGTCATCCTAGTAAGACATCCTTGTATCGTACAACCCCAGTCTCCTCTACCTCAGTCATCCTAGTAAGACATCCTTGTATCGTACAACCCCAGCCTCCTCTACCTCAGTCATCCTAGTAAGACATCCTTGTATCGTACAACCCCAGCCTCCTCTACCTCAGTCATCCTAGTAAGACATCCTTGTATCGTACAACCCCAGCCTCCTCTACCTCAGTCATCCTAGTAAGACATCCTTGTATCGTACAACCCCAGCCTCCTCTACCTCAGTCATCCTAGTAAGACATCCTTGTATCGTACAACCCGTCTCCTCTACCTCAGTCATCCTAGTAAGATATCCTTGTATCGTACAACCCCAGCCTCCTCTACCTCAGTCATCCTAGTAAGACATCCTTGTATCGTACAACCCCAGCCTCCTCTACCTCAGTCATCCTAGTAAGACATCCTTGTATCGTACAACCCCAGTCTCCTCTACCTCAGTCATCCTAGTAAGACATCCTTGTATCGTACAACCCCAGCCTCCTCTACCTCAGTCATCCTAGTAAGACATCCTTGTATCGTACAACCCCAGCCTCCTCTACCTCAGTCATCCTAGTAAGATATCCTTGTATCGTACAACCCCAGCCTCCTCTACCTCAGTCATCCTAGTAAGACATCCTTGTATCGTACAACCCCAGTCTCCTCTACCTCAGTCATCCTAGTAAGACATCCTTGTATCGTACAACCCCAGTCTCCTCTACCTCAGTCATCCTAGTAAGACATCCTTGTATCGTACAACCCCAGTCTCCTCTACCTCAGTCATCCTAGTAAGACATCCTTGTATCGTACAACCCCAGTCTCCTCTACCTCAGTCATCCTAGTAAGACATCCTTGTATCGTACAACCCCAGCTCCTCTACCTCAGTCATCCTAGTAAGACATCCTTGTATCGTACAACCCCAGTCTCCTCTACCTCAGTCATCCTAGTAAGACATCCTTGTATCGTACAACCCCAGTCTCCTCTACCTCAGTCATCCTAGTAAGACATCCTTGTATCGTACAACCCCAGCCTCCTCTACCTCAGTCATCCTAGTAAGACATCCTTGTATCGTACAACCCCAGTCTCCTCTACCTCAGTCATCCTAGTAAGACATCCTTGTATCGTACAACCCCAGTCTCCTCTACCTCAGTCATCATAGTAAGACATCCTTGTATCGTACAACCCCAGTCTCCTCTACCTCAGTCATCCTAGTAAGACATCCTTGTATCGTACAACCCCAGTCTCCTCTACCTCAGTCATCCTAGTAAGACATCCTTGTATCGTACAACCCCAGCCTCCTCTACCTCAGTCATCCTAGTAAGACATCCTTGTATCGTACAACCCCAGCCTCCTCTACCTCAGTCATCCTAGTAAGCATCCTTGTATCGTACAACCCCAGTCTCCTCTACCTCAGTCATCCTAGTAAGATATCCTTGTATCGTACAACCCCAGTCTCCTCTACCTCAGTCATCCTAGTAAGATATCCTTGTATCGTACAAACCCCAGTCTCCTCTACCTCAGTCATCCTAGTAAGACATCCTTGTATCGTACAACCCCAGTCTCCTCTACCTCAGTCATCCTAGTAAGACATCCTTGTATCGTACAACCCCAGTCTCCTCTACCTCAGTCATCCTAGTAAGACATCCTTGTATCGTACAACCCCAGTCTCCTCTACCTCAGTCATCCTAGTAAGACATCCTTGTATCGTACAACCCAGTCTCCTCTACCTCAGTCATCCTAGTAAGACATCCTTGTATCGTACAACCCCAGTCTCCTCTACCTCAGTCATCCTAGTAAGACATCCTTGTATCATACAACCCCAGTCTCTACCTCAGTCATCCTAGTAAGACATCCTTGTATCGTACAACCCCAGTCTCCTCTACCTCAGTCATCCTAGTAAGACATCCTTGTATCGTACAACCCCAGTCTCCTCTACCTCAGTCATCCTAGTAAGACATCCTTGTATCGTACAACCCCAGTCTCCTCTACCTCAGTCATCCTAGTAAGACATCCTTGTATCGTACAACCCCAGCCTCCTCTACCTCAGTAATTTTTACATCAGTGCTGAAGCTCTGAAGTGACTCAGAAGATGTTGTCTCAAGTTATCAGAGTTGACGGTTTGAAGACGATCGGACGAGACGTTCACAAGTCATATGACAACCAGTATTTCAGTTTTCCTAATTTCTTCAGTATTGCTAACAAATTGCCTCCCCCACACTGTCCAAAATTGACCCCCACACTGTCCAAAATTGACCCCCACACTGTCCAAAATTGACCCCCCACACTGTCCAAAATTGACCCCCACACTGTCCAAAATTGACCCCCACACTGTCCAAAATTGACCCCCACACTGTCCAAAATTGACCCCCACACTGTCCAAAATTGACCCCCACACTGTCCAAAATTGACCCCCCCCAAATGCCACTGTCCAAAATTGACCCCCACACTGTCCAAAATTGACCCCCACACTGTCCAAAATTGGTCCCCAACTGTCCAAAATTGACCCCCACACTGTCCAAAATTGGTCCCCACACTGTCCAAAATTGGTCCCCACACTGTCCAAGATTGACCCCCACACTGTCCAAAATTGACCCCCACACTGTCCAAAATCAATCCACGCCTTTCTATATGTAAGATTCACTCGCATTTAAAGTTTAAAATCGATCGGAAGACGCATTCTCCAGTTACTGCACAGAAACTCATTTGTTTCACAAAACTGGAAAAGTTAAATTACACAACACGAAATCAAGGCAGAACTTTCCCGGGGGAAGCTTTGTCTTGATTTTGGGCTGTGTAAGTTTCAAGCCGACCGGAAGATGCATTCTCCGGTTATTGTACATCATCCAACGATTCCAAATTTTTAATTAATTTAGTAAATCGAGAAATTTGTGCCTACATAAAAACTCAAAAATTATTAAAATTATCCCTTCGTGGATGCATAATAGTAAGAGTAATAATAATAATAATAATTCTCTTGATTACAGGTAGGGGGCGCCCTGGAACACCCGCTGGGTGACCACTAGACACAGCACCAACAATAACAGCAACAACAGCAGTAGCAGCAGCAGTAACAGCACCAGTAACAGCACCAGTAACAGCATCAGTAACAACAACAACAGCAGTAGCAGCAACAGTAACAATAACAACAGTAGCAGCAACAACAGAAGCAGCGCCATCAGCAGGAGTAAAAGCAGTAAACAGCAGTAGCAGCAACAACAGTAGCAGCAACAGTAACAGAAGCAACAGCATCAGTAACAGCAGCAAACAGCATTAGCAGTAATAGCAACATCAGCAGCAACAACAACAGCAGCAGCATCAGTAACAGCAGCAAATAAGAGCAGCAACAGTAACATCAACAGCAACAACAGCAGCAGTAACAGTAACAGCAGAAACATCAGGAACAAGTTTGACATCACTGGTGGTGGAGGTGGTGGTGGTGGTGGAGGTGGTGGAGGAGGGGGAGGAAGAAGAGGAGGTGGTGGTGGAGGAATAAAGAAGCAGCAAAAAGAAGAGGAAGAGGAGGAGGGGGTTAGGAGGGGGTGTTGGTGGGGGTGATGAGGCTCCCCACCCCCCACCCCCCTCTTGCTGGCTTGGCCACCACCACCCTTCTGCTCTCCACACTGCTTGCCCCTGGTAAGTCACCCCTTACACTCCCCCCTTTTATGTGTCCCTTTAACCCCCTTTTTTACTGTCCCTCCCCCCTTTTACTGTCCCCTTCCCCCCTCATCCCTTTCATCCAAGTTGAGGTCATTTTAACCTCCGAGGAACCTAATGTGACCTCGGTGAGGCTTTAGTCCCTTGCTCCTTCACTGAGATCCCCAGGATATCCTCCTGTTGACTTGCTCCTTCACTGAGATCCCCAGGATATCCTCCTGTTGACTTACTCCTTCACTGAGACCCCCAGGATATCCTCGTGTTGACTTGCTCCTTCACTGAGACCCCCAGGATATCCTCGTGTTGACTTACTCCTTCACTGAGACCCCCAGGATATCCTCTGTTGACTTGCCCCTTCACTGAGACCCCCAGGATATCCTCGTGTTGACTTGCTCCTTCACTGAGACCCCCAGGATATCCTCGTGTTGACTTGCTCCTTCACTGAGACCCCCAGGATATCCTCCTGTTGACTTGCTCCTTCACTGAGACCCCCAGGATATCCTCGTGTTGACTTGCTCCTTACTGAGACCCCAGGATATCCTCTGTTGACTTACCCTTCACTGAGACCCCCAGGATATCCTCCTGTTGACTTGCCCCTTCACTGAGACCCCCAGGATATCCTCGTGTTGACTTGCCCCTTCACTGAGACCCCCCAGGATATCCTCCTGTTGACTTGCTCCTTCACTGAGACCCCCAGGATATCCTCCTGTTGACTTGCTCCTTCACTGAGACCCCCAGGATATCCTCGTGTTGACTTGCTCCTTTACTGAGACCCCCAGGATATCCTCCTGTTGACTTACCCCTTCACTGAGACCCCCAGGATATCCTCCTGTTGACTTGCTCCTTCACTGAGACCCCCAGGATATCCTCTGTTGACTTGCTCCTTACTGAGACCCCCAGGATATCCTCCTGTTGACTTGCTCCTTCACTGAGACCCCAGGATATCCTCTGTTGACTTCCCCCTTCACTGAGACCCCCAGGATATCCTCCTGTTGACTTTCTCCTTCACTGAGACCCCCAGGATATCCCCCTGTTGACTTGCTCCTTTACTTAGACCCCAGGATATCCTCCTGTTGACTTGCTCCTTACTGAGACCCCCAGGATATCCTCCGTGTTGACTTGCTCCTTCACTGAGACCCCCAGGATATCCTCCGTGTTGACTTGCTCCTTCACTGAGACCCCCAGGATATCCTCCTGTTGACTTGCTCCTTCACTGAGACCCCCAGGATATCCTCGTGTTGACTTGCTCCTTCACTGAGACCCCAAGGATATCCTCCTGTTGACTTGCTCCTTCACTGAGACCCCAAGGATATCCTCCTGTTGACTTGCCCCTTCACTGAGACCCCCAGGATATCCTCCTGTTGACTTGCCCTTCACTGAGACCCCCAGGATATCCTCCTGTTGACTTACCTCCTTCACTGAGACCCCCAGGATATCCTCCTGTTGACTTGCTCCTTCACTGAGACCCCCAGGATATCCTCTGTTGACTTACTCCTTACTGAGACCCCCAGGATATCCTCGTGTTGACTTGCCCCTTCACTGAGACCCCCCAGGATATCCTCCTGTTGACTTGCTCCTTTACTGAGACCCCCAGGATATCCTCGTGTTGACTTGCCCCTTCACTGAGATCCCCAGGATATCCTCGTGTTGACTTGCTCCTTTACTGAGACCCCCAGGATATCCTCGTGTTGACTTGCCCCTTCACTGAGACCCCCAGGATATCCTCCTGTTGACTTGCTCCTTCACTGAGACCCCCAGGATATCCTCCTGTTGACTTGCTCCTTTACTGAGACCCCCAGGATATCCTCGGGTTGACTTGCCCCTTCACTGAGACCCCCAGGATATCCTCCTGTTGACTTGCTCCTTCACTGAGACCCCCAGGATATCCTCGTGTTGACTTGCTCCTTTACTGAGACCCCCAGGATATCCTCGTGTTGACTTGCTCCTTTACTGAGACCCCCAGGATATCCTTCTGTTGACTTGCTCCTTCACTGAGACCCCCAGGATATCCTCCTGTTGACTTGCTCCTTCACTGAGACCCCCATGATATCCTCGTGTTGACTTGCTCCTTACTGAGACCCCCAGGGATATCCTCGTGTTGACTTGCCCTTCACTAAGACCCCCAGGATATCCTCTGTTGACTTGCTCCTTCACTGAGACCCCCAGGATATCCTCCTGTTGACTTGCTCCTTCACTGAGACCCCCAGGATATCCTCCTGTTGACTTGCTCCTTCACTGAGACCCCCAGGATATCCTCCTGTTGACTTGCTCCTTCACTGAGACCCCCAGGATATCCTCGTGTTGACTTGCTCCTTTACTGAGACCCCCAGGATATCCTCCTGTTGACTTGCTCCTTTACTGAGACCCCCAGGATATCCTCCTGTTGACTTGCTCCTTCACTGAGACCCCCAGGATATCCTCGTGTTGACTTGCTCCTTCACTGAGACCCCCAGGATATCCTCCTGTTGACTTGCTCCTTCACTGAGACCCCCAGGATATCCTGCGTGTTGACTTGCTCCTTTCACTGAGACCCCAGGATATCCTCGTGTTGACTTGCCCTTCATGAGACCCCCAGGATATCCTCGTGTTGACTTGCCCTTACTGAGATCACCAGGATATCCTCTGTTGACTTGCTCCTTCACTGAGACCCCCAGGATATCCTCGTGTTGACTTGCTCCTTTACTGAGACCCCCAGGATATCCTCCTGTTGACTTACTCCTTCACTGAGACCCCCAGGATATCCTCCTGTTGACTTGCTCCTTCACTGAGACCCCCAGGATATCCTCGTGTTGACTTGCTCCTTTACTGAGACCCCCAGGATATCCTCCTGTTGACTTACTCCTTCACTGAGACCCCCAGGATATCCTCCTGTTGACTTGCCCCTTCACTGAGACCCCCAGGATATCCTCGTGTTGACTTGCCCTTCACTGAGACCCCCAGGATATCCTCCTTATGAACATTGGCTCTCTCACTGAGACCCCCAGGATATCCTCCTGTTGACTTGCTCCTTCACTGAGACCCCCAGGATATCCTCGTGTTGACTTGCTCCTTTACTGAGACCCCCAGGATATCCTCCTGTTGACTTACTCCTTCACTGAGACCCCGGACTGGGATATTCCTTCCTGTATGGCTGTGCTTCTCTTACTGAGACCCCCAGGATATCCTCTGTTGACTTGCTCCTTCACTGAGACCCCCAGGATATCCTCGTGTTGACTTGCTCCTTTACTGAGACCCCCAGGATATCCTCCTGTTGACTTGCTCCTTCACTGAGATCCCCAGGATATCCTCCTGTTGACTTGCCCCTTCACTGAGACCCCCAGGATATCCTCGTGTTGACTTGCCCCTTCACTGAGACCCCCAGGATATCCTCCTGTTGACTTGCTCCTTTACTGAGACCCCCAGGATATCCTCCTATTGAGACCCCCAGGATATCCTCGTGTTGACTTGCCCCTTCACTGAGACCCCCCAGGATATCCTCTGTTGACTTGCTCCTTCACTGAGACCCCAGGATATCCTCCTGTTGACTTGCTCCTTTACTTAGACCCCCAGGATATCCTCGTGTTGACTTGCTCCTTTACTGAGACCCCCAGGATATCCTCCTGTTGACTTGCTCCTTCACTGAGACCCCCAGGATATCCTCTGTTGACTTGCTCCTTCACTGAGACCCCCAGGATATCCTCCTGTTGACTTGCCCTTACTGAGACCCCCAGGATATCCTCGTGTTGACTTGCCCCTTCACTGAGACCCCCCAGGATATCCTCCTGTTGACTTGCCCTTCACTGAGACCCCAGGATATCCTCCTGTTGACTTGCCTTCCCTTTGTAGCTGTTAGAACCCCCAGGATATCCTCGTGTTGACTTGCCCTTCACTACCGGAGTACCCCCCCAGGATATCCTCGTGTTGACTTGCCCTTCACTGAGACCCCCCAGGATATCCTCCTGTTGACTTGCTCCTTCACTGAGACCCCCAGGATTCCTCTGTTGACTTGCCCCTTTTACTGAGACCCTCATGATATCCTCTGTTGACTTGCTCCTTACTGAGACCCCCAGGATATCCTCGTGTTGACTTGCCCCTTCACTGAGACCCCCAGGATATCCTCCTGTTGACTTGCTCCTTCACTGAGACCCCCAGGATATCCTCCTGTTGACTTGCTCCTTTACTGAGACCCTCAGGATATCCTCGTGTTGATTTGCTCCTTTACTGAGACCCCCAGGATATCCTCCTGTTGACTTGCTCCTTCACTGAGACCCCCAGGATATCCTCCTGTTGACTTGCTCCTTCACTGAGACCCCCAGGATATCCTCCTGTTGACTTGCTCCTTCACTGTACCCTTCCCTACATCAACTCCCTCGTTTGATATAACTTTACCTTTGATGAGATCTGAGAATCTACTCCCGGAGACTGGGCATGGGCCAGGCTCGTCTGGTGCTAACCTGGTTAACAAGGCTGTTGCTGCCTCAAGATAGAGCCTCTTTGGCTCTGGTTTTTATATTATTTCATTGTTTTTTATTATTAAATTATTGTAAACTTATCTACAATATATTTAGTTGGATTAGGCTAAATTAAATTGCGCTTGTTATAATAAAGTTAGGTAAGTTTTCTAAGGTTCTTTTGGTACAAATTTATTATTTACATTAACATATATATGAAAAGAAATTTCTAAAAGTATAACAGAAAATTTGGGAAAGGACTTAATTTTAAATGAGTTCTTGCTAATTGACCAATTTTACCTATTCGCACGACAAATTATATATATATATATATATATATATATATATATATATATATATATAATATATATTATATATATATATATATATATATATATATATGAAAAGAAATCGCAAACAAGGGATCCAAGATGCAAAACAACCATGAGGGGAGTTGAAAGATAGGTCTAGGCCTTTCGTGTTGCAATCAAGACATCAGGAGGTTGCAGTGTTGCAGAAGACAGGTTGACATCAGAGCACACACGTTCA